GCTCCCCTAGGGGCACTTTAGAGTGTGCAGCCCATCCAGCCGAGCCATCAATCTAGTCCTGCACAGCAGATATCATTACTGTGCCGCACACACACGTCCACACTAACAGGTGTGTGTCTGAGCAAACGCACCCAGAAAATACTGCTCCACAAATGCATATTGTTTGTGCTGAAGGAGAAAAAAACGAAATGTAACAAAGCCAAAAAAATGGCACATTACAATACCGCATTATTGAGGTATTATTGTTACAGAGGTCACTACTGAAAATGTAACAGTATGGATTTTATCCATTAGGGATTTGATTGGATTGGATTGTCAAGAGTGGGCTATACTTAGCAGAATGGAGTGTAGTGGTTGGCGGGGAGGGTTGAGAAATAAGGGGGATTCATCACGTCATTCAGAAATTAAAGGGATTCTGTTATCATGTACTCTCCCTCCTGTTATTACAAATATGTATGACTCTTCTGTGGTGCATAAAAGAAGATATTTTGAGAAATGTTTACATTTTGGTAATAGATCTTTACACCAGTATTTGGAATTATGAGCGCAATAGTTGTTATAATTTTTTATTTTAAATTCTATGCTGTGACTTTTGTTGTTCATACAACAGAAGTCAGTGGTATTCAGTGTTGGTTGACTCCCACTGTTCTTCATAATATTTCCTTTTGGGTTCTGTTTGTGTTCCACAAAAAGTGCATGCAGGTTTGGAATGAAATGAGGGTGAGTAAATGATAGAATTGTCCTTGTTTTGGTGGAAATTATTAGAGGGGCAGATCAAGTTATTACATTTTGGTAACAGATTTTGATGCAGACATTTGGAAGAATATGCACAATAATGTTTAATTGTTTTTGGTTTGCAATTCTGTCTTGTTTGTGGCGAAGAAATTACACTCAAATTTATTTATTTGTTTGTTTGTTTGTTCACATAAAATAGAGGCCAATGGTTGGTTCTTCAAAAGAACTTGTAAAGCAAAAAAAAAAAGCAGGTTTGGAACGACTTGAGGTGAGTACATAATACAATTTTCATTTTTGGATCAAATTTATTAGAGCCACATAGCAAGTTATGACATTTTAGTAATAGATTTTGATACAAACATCTGAAAGGATGTGCACAATAATGTTCAAAATAAGATCAGAAATGAGTTTTGGATTCAGTTTTTTTCAATCAATCAACCAATCAACCAACCAACCAACCAACCAATCAATCAATCAACCAATCTATCAACAAATTAACCAATCAACCAATCAATCAACCAATCAACCAACTAACCAATCAATCAATCAACCAACCAACCAATCAATAAAGATATCTAAACTATGTAAACACAATTAAGTCTTAAAGATTTATTTGCATTGGGTTACTAAAATGTGATAAAAAAAATTTAGAGAAAGAAAATAACTAGGCATAATTTAGATTTAATTTATGTTTTTAACTGCCTGGAAAGAATTGAAGTGTTTAGGTCCTGTCATAAATCATATTTTTGGTTTGCAGTCCTGTCTTGTTAGTAGCCTAGAAATTACAAACGCACCTCTATTTATTTTTTTCTTATTCTAAACAAAGTTTCAAAGCTTTTCACTTCGACATACGGTAAACTTCCAGTTGTCTCAGTGAAATCTCGATATGACAACAGCTGTAAAACCAGCACCCATCTAAGAAGTAAATTAATAATTTGCATACATTAAATGAAAGAAATGTAGACCTTATCAAGAGAACTGTTTCATTTGTGAGAAGAAAAACATCTGTGATGAACAAAATGTGCAAGGGAAGCCGAGCAGCGCATGATCAGAGATAACATTTACACAAAGAACAAAGACTGAATGTGAGAGCGAGACTCTACTGTACACATATAGCAGAACAAAGAGACTGAGAAAAATACACTCAAGCATGCATGAATACTAATCACAGAAATAAATACAAAATACAAGTCATCTATTAAATACAGTCATTTGTTTAAAGGATTAAATGACATTTTGGTGTGATGATCAAAGTTGGATTGATGTAATTATCAGATCAGAATGATATAAGCATTTTGATTCCATAATGTTTGTGTTGAGAGTAGGAATACTATTCCATTGTTATTACAAATTGAGGTCTCAGTGGTTGATTGATTGATTTGTGTTGAAATAGGCTGAAATTTAAGTTGTTTTCCCTGAATCTCGATCTCGATCATGCGCAGTTGACAGTTGCGGTCAGTGTTGGGGGTGAAGTATTAGAAGTAACGCAAGTTACGTAATCAGATTACTTTTTCATTTAACTAGTTAAGTAACACATTACTTTTAAATTTACAAGAAAATATCTACATTACTTTTTCAAATACGTAACAGCAGTTACTTTGTTTCCCGTGTCTTGACTGACAGCTCTCCTGTCCTCATGTTCAGAGAAATCATCTCAGGTTACTTATGTAACCATGGTTCCCTGAGTAGGGAACGAGACACTGTGTCTTCTAGGGGTCGCTATGGGGAACGCCTCGTCGTGACCCGTGTCTGAAGCATATATTGAAAAAAAAACACCAACTCGTTGGCCGGGGACAGACATGACGTCACTACCGGTGAGACTATAGTATAAATAGGCATCGGGAGAACATGTCATTCACTTCTTCATCTGAAGCTTGCGTCCGCAGCATGGCAAGAAACCTAGAGGACGCAGTGTCTCGTTCCCTACTCAGGGAACCATGGTTACATAAGTAACCTGAGACGTTCCCTTTCATGGGAACTTCAAACTGCGTCCTCTAGGGGTCACTATGGGGAACGGTATGGAGCCCAAGGTACCGGGGTCTAAACCAACTCAGAGAAAGGGAACGAGATCAATAACGTGTAACCCTTACCATACAGGATTTTAGAAAAGTGGGCAAAGCATAACGTGCACACTTACCACTTATGTGGATTTTAGAAAGTGGGCAAAGCAATAACGTGCACACTTACCACTTATGTGGATTTGTAGAAAATGCACAAAGCTTAACGTGCACACTTACCATTGTATTTGGATTTAGAGTTTTCCAAGCATATGTTTACAGATACCCGGGAAGAACTGGGCCAAACGGGAGAGGCAAGCTCAAATACAACCCTCAAAGGGGAGCACTGCCCGAGACAGCATTTACACAGGAAGGTTCTGGTAATGGCACCTATACCTCCCGCTCGATGCCTCAGCAAGAGGGGATATCCTGGTGATCGGGAAGCCCCTCAGGGCGACCCAGATACGGTAGACCAGTCAGGGTAGCATGAAAGCGTAAACCCCAGCCCGGACGTCCAGGAAATTTTTGCAGTGACGCGCCGGGGGCCTGATGATCACGAAGGCTCCCACAGAAGCCTGTGTTATGGCCGCATGATCCAGGAAGTATGAAGGCGAAAACCGGCTTTCCTTACCGTCTGGACATATATCGACGAGTGAAATAAACACAGGGTAGATGTTACACCCCCTGAGGGAAAGAGCGGATACCTAAGTATCACTCTGATCTGGACAAAAGCGCTGACGCCTTGTCTGGATCACATCCCTCAGGTCTTGCCTACCTCCCTTTGACCTATGATACTTCCTACCCCTACCGGCAGGGGAGGAGCGTGAGTCGCGATGCTAGCCTTCTGTGCTCGTCTCTGATCCTCAATCCGAGACGGGCCAGGACCCCTGGGTTGTTCGGGCTCAGACCTGGACCTTCGTGGAATGAAGGTTTTGAAGGCCGCTGAGCGCGCATTCGCCTCCCTGAACTTCTCGACCACCGCCTCAACAGAGGTACCAAAAAGTTCAGAGGGCAAAACCGGGGCATCGAGAAGAAAGCCCCTTTCTTTCTTCTCGATGTCTGCCAGGTTTACCCACAGATGCCTCTCCGTCACTACCATTGCCGCCATGGATCTGCCCATGGCAGAGGCGGCCTGCTTAGTAGCACGGAGAGTGAGATCCGTGGTGCGGCGCAACTTGGTGCAAGCAGGTCATCCTGGTATGCCTGGAGCACCGCCATCGTGTGCAACGAAGCAACAGCCTGACCTGCTGCTGCTTATGCCCTGCCATTCAAGCGAGATGTAGTCTGAAGGGGCACGGATGGCAAGGAGGGAGTTTTGAGAGACGATGTCTCACCCATAGTGAGATAGTTGGCTAGCGTCTCTTCTACAGGGGGCATCCTCTCATAGCCGTTTTCGCGCATCGCCTCGATGTTTGCATAACTGGTATGCTGAAACCGATGGATGCGTGAGGAAAACAGCCTCTCCCATTCTTTCTTGATCTCAGTATGGAGATCAGCAAGGAAAGCAAGGCTCACCTGAGCTGGAGGGTTATGGCCAAGCCTCGCCGTGGAGCGATCCATAACCTCCAAGAGCTCGTCATACGCAGGGCAGGAGGATTGGGAAGGCTCAGCCTCAGCTTCTTCGCCCTCCTCATACATTTCCTGCTCTTCCTGGGCTGAACTTCGAAGTTCCCATGAAAGGGAACAGGAGTGAGTGCAGAGTGCATTTAATCCCATTTTATTAACCAATATCTTTGCTGCTGACCTTCGATAATCCAATTCATCCATACTAAGTAAAAATGACACATTTGTGTTTAATTTTGGTTATTGCTGAATAGTGTTGAACTTTCTTCTCCTGTGTCATATTCTTCATGCTATTTTTTTTAGCTATTTTTATTTCCTTCAGCCTGAGGCGTATTCATTTCAATTTTGGTGTGAAAAGCTTCAAAAAGAAGAACTTTTTATATTAAAAACAAACAAGCAAACCCTGCCCAGATTTTAAAAGCAACTCAAAAGTAACTTAGCACATTACTTTCCATCAAAAGTAACTAAGTAATGTAATTTACTATGTTACGTAAGTTACTTTTTTGGGGGAGTAACGCAATATTGTTATGCATTCCTTTTAAAAGTAACTTTCCGCAACACTGGTTGCGGTCACCACTGACTTTCATTGTATGGAACAAAGCAGCTTGGACATTCTGCTAAACGTTTCTTTTTGTACTTGAAACAAGAAAAGTCATATTGGTTTTGAAAGACATGGCGTGATGAAATGTTCTGGTCTCCACTCACCTCTTCAGGTTGTGTGACCACCACGGCTGGCATCCCTTCCTCTGGCTCATATTCACAGCTTTTCTGTGTCCTGAAAGTCTCATCATCTCGTTTTAGATCCTTCTGATCGGACCTCTTGTCCTCCAGGATCTGTTCAGGTCCTGGTTCTTGGGGTTTCTCAGTGGGATGCAGCCCCTGACCTTGAGTTTGACTGGCCGCGGACTCATCTGTGAAGGCCTGAGCTGGTTTTGGTGTGGTGGTGGTCTTGACGTCTGGCTCTAGTCCTTCTTGAGTGAGATATTTTAACCCCTTGCAAATGTGCTGGCCTGATCCTGAAGTGTGCGATGAAGATGGGATGAACTCATGAGCCAAAAAATCTGACTCCTGAAAACAAAAAACAGAACATATTTATAGTACATTTTCAGATATGTCAATTCATTGAAAATGTTAACCAAAATAATTACATGATATGATAATTAAATGTCAATATGCTTAATTGCCATATCATAAATCACTGGGCAACAGGTTACATCAGTGATTAACAGTCAGATCAGAAAGAGCACTAATTGCCAAAGTTATTGAGAATAAAAAAAATGAAGTTTTAAAAATTAAATTAGTGCAGTGTATTAGCAAACAATATATTGAAAATATATTTTACATTTGTATTTTGCATTTATACAAAAGTAAAATATATTGTTTTTTTATTTAATTTTTTTTTATTTTTCTTGCGGTTTTTATTATTTCAATTGAACACTTTCATGGCATAATATTTTATAAATGCAGCTGTTAGATGTTTATTTATGAATCATAAAACATTAAATATTTTATTTATTATTTTATTTTAAAGTGTCAGGTCCATCTCTTAAAATCTGGCACATTTCATGCATAATGTTCAATATGCTGTTCTATAACTTTCTGAAAGCAATACAATTCAATATTCTTTAGAAAAACTATTAAATATACTACATTATCAAACATAAAGTTAGCTAGTTTTAAACACATTTACAATATGTATTTATAAATGGTGATTTGGTTTTGGCCCACTTCAGTGTATCTAACAAGTAAAATCATACACAGTCCTAATTTTGTCAGAATCGCCTGAATTAATATTCTGTTCATTGTAGAAAATGAATTAATAAAATTACCATAAGCATGATGTGTATCCTGTAATAAAATAAATAATAAATAATAATAATAAAAAAAATAACATTCCATAAAATCTCTACATATATTTAATAAATAAATGTTTATCAATATTTACAAACCAACATTTGTTACCAAACTGTCTTAAGGCTCTCCTGAGTGATAGCTTATTTTAATCTAAATATGCAACCCTGTTACCCATTCTGGCATATTTATTGCTCAAGTCACACCGAACCATCATTAAACAAACATTACCGCACTAACTTCCTCTTATCTTCACCGTAACTGCATCATGTGCCATTTTTTGTGCTTATCTAAAACGGGTTGACAAGCACAAATACCCTTTAGCTGAGGAATAACATTTCACTCAACGCCGGCATGATTACTCTTCATTACGCTGTAATGTGACAGTTTGACAAGTGCAGTGGCTGTTTTAGTCACCTGCTGATGTGCGTACACGGCCCAGTGGAGATGAGACCTCTCTGGAAGTGACCATTAAGCACAGTTCATCTGTCAGACTTCAGTCCATACTCAACCTCCACTACACTTCATTTGGAAAGAGAAATCCCAGTGGGCTTTGTGTCATTTATAGCAGCGCTCATGTTCATTAAGACCTCAGCGGTGGCCATGTATATTTCAGTGCTACACTTTGTGTCGAGGCTTGTAACGATTTTATTTTTTGTAAAAAGTGAACTACATTTTATTTGCATATCCAAACAAAAGCCTCATCCAAACTGTTTTAGCTTTTTCCTATAATGCCAGAAAGCAGAAATCAATCAGAATAGTGGTGAAGCTCCCGTCAATAGGACGTCACATTAAAATATCCCAGCTTTCCACATGTCACAGCTGTTCTTGCCTTCATTTCCACTGGCATGTCATGTCTTTCATTAGACAAGAATGTCTCAGTAAAATGTCCCCCCCATTCAAGTCAGTTTAAACAGTCAGCTCCAATGGGTATTCATTACACACGGATTGGTAACTGGCAAGGAATTGTTTTCCTATACATAATGGTCGGATGTGTAATCCAAGCCGTTTGCAATTAAGTAAGAAACACTGTGTGCATGTGGCCACTTGTACTTCGGCTCTCTCAGGACAATGGCCGATTCGTCTTGGACTGCAGAAATGTTAAAGCATTTGATGTTTCCGAATACTTGAGCAATGAAGTCATTCCACTGTTAAACTTTACAGCAATCTAATTAAGCTGAAGATTCGGTATTGCGACAACAGGCTTTGGTTTGAAGTCTAGCTGAACGAAATGTAGCCTAAACATTACTTTGAGTGGCTTTATTTTGATTATAGAAGAAAAACAGAATGAAAGTTGAAAGATGTGCTTCTGTAAACATAAAAAAATCTCCCAGCATCAAATAAAAACAAAAAACAAAAAAACAACCCAAAAGTAAAACACACAAAAAAAAAACACACACACACAAATCATAAAACAGCAAAACAAAACAAAACACACAAAATAAATCAACAACAAAACAACCCCAAAACAAAACACATCAACAAAAAAACAATCCCAAAACAAAATACAACAAAACCCAATACAAATCAACAACAAAACACACAACAACAAAACAACCCCAAAACACAACTAAACAAAATCCAAAACAATACAAAACAAAACAACAAAACCCCATTCAAATCAACAACAAAACAAAACACACAACAACAAAACAACCCCAAAACAAAACACAAGTAAACAAAACCACAAAATAAAACACAAAAAATAAAAACACAAAAGCAAAACAAACAAACAAAAGAATCTGGTAACTTTTTTGCTCAATGCTCAAAAGAAGACTAGGAATTACTGACATTCATCTGCATAGAAAAGTAGTTCCATTGCAAGATCAATGCAACTTCACATTTTTAAATGGAAGAATTACTAATAATAACAATAATAATAAATAGCTGCACATTTCTGCTTTAAAACTGAATGCCTTGCCCCATAGACTCCCATTGTAAGTGTTTTTACAAACTGGGGTACAAGTAATCGACAGTATGTCACAGACATCCACAGAGCTCGACTTGTACTAAGCCCAGAACATTCCTTTAAGCACAGAACACATTTGAGCTAAAAACAACTTCATTAATGTTCTGCAAAGTGTATTATAACGGCAGGCAACAAACAGGGAAATCAGACCCGTTGTTATACCACTATGACAAGCCTCTGAAGAAATGTGCCTCAATGTTCACCCTGCAGCTGCTGCGACACACTAGCTAATCCACGTCTAGCTTTGGTGTGTCCATTTCCATCTACTGACATGTGATATCCACAACAGAGTCTGAATACTACGAGACTCAAAGCCACAGGATCCACCTGGGGTCAAAACACAGCGTGGGACAAGGCTGCATTGAGCAAGGAGTGGCTAAAGGACACCAAAGAGGAAATGACACAAATTCACAAACAAAAGCTACCTTACAGGATAAACGTAAAACTGCTGAGCAAATAGAAACAAGCGGGCCAGGACTAATCTTTGCTAGTATTAAAGCTCAGTTAAGCTGAGGAATTCCCTGAAGACTGGAGAAAGGAATTCTGTATAAACAAGCAATTGGTAAACACGGATATAAATAACACGATCGAGCGATGTTTGGTTAAAAACGGGCACCAATTACTCCAGTGACTGCAGGGACAGGTTTACTCGCATCACAGCTGTTATCACTTCTTTTTTAGCTTAACTGTAGATATATCATTGTGTTAGGACAAACATTTTCCTGAGCGTAGAAAACACTAAATTTATCCACATTCCTGAGCGGAATGTAAGCGAGCAAACAGTACAAATGCAACTGGATCCGTCTTTATGAGCAAAGCTACTGCATGATGAAGTCATATCACCATAAAACTGACTGTGATGCATCAAATCTGATAGCGTTTTGTGGAAAGAGAACATTATTCATGCACCATTATCGTCAATCAATGTTCATTTAGCCGTCGGAGTTATTGGCTCTTTCTAAATAAAAGTATAATCACCCGAGACAAACGATTACACACTGTAAAAAGTGAAAATGTGCAGCTATTTCCACCTGATCTGCTCTGTTGCTCTTGTTAGTTTAACCCAATGTAGTAAAGGTGATTCAGTCAAATGAAATATTACTTTGGACTTCTAACTAATACAATAAAGCATATTCTTTACATTTCTTGACTGTTTTACTGTGTGAAATATTGTCTGTTTACTTTGAGGAAATTATAAAGTTTTCAAAATCATGATTCTCTGCATTTTAAATATAACACTCAAATGATTTATCAAATGAATTATGAGAGGTTTATCAGCTATTGAAAAGGATTGGGGCTGCTCTTGGACCAAAACAAACTTTAGACATGGGTTGGGGTGTTGGAAAGAGGGGCTTGTTGTGTTATTCAACATGTTAACAGTGTACATTTGGCATCCTTCATTGGATGCAAAACATGTTTATTATCACTTTTTGTGTCTATTGTGCTTAACGACTACCTTTTCCTTGACTGAAAATGCAGGTCCTTCTTGATCCATGAAACCAGCATCTAGATTAAAAACACAAATCAATATACGCATTACAATGCTCAAGGAAACAAATCAGGACTCAACAAATAAAACGGTATAATAAACACATCTTAAGATAATAAAATGTTTAAACGTCCCAAATGAGACATTTGTCATCAGGTGTCTCGACAAAATGTGAAGATCTACATTGGCAATGCTTTTCATGAAGCCTGCAACTAACGCATTCATAATGTCTTACACACACTAATCATTTGTTCTCATGAATAATTTAATCCACAGATATAATGCATTAGAATGCTTCTAGATATAAAAGAGTAGTGCATCAACACACCGTTTCAAACATTATAGCAACTGATATAGCCTAAGTGCAAGCACATTAAATCTGTGGTTATACTGGGCTAAAGGTTTGATTTATAAATCGAGAACACCTGCTTTATATATAGACTTCAGATGCACTTCTCGCATAGAGTCATGCTGCATTAAGCAAGCACTTAAGTCTATTAATAGAGCTCGCAAATGAGATTAGTCACCTCTCTGCATGTTTAAATTGTTCAAGGAATTCAAGCGATACTTTTATGTTTTGTTAAGAGATAAGATATGCCTAGATAAATAGTTTAGGCGAGCATCTTTAACCTAGACGCTCAGGTGCTCGCATAGCCTATAAAGAGTTTCTATATGGGCCCCTGCTCTCTTTACCTGAACCAGGCTGCGCGTCGCGTCGCTCGTGTGTAGCGTGAGTATCATGTGTTCCTCCATCTGCAGTCGCGAGGTCGGAACATCCCGGCTCTGCTCCAGTCTGATTCGCGGAAGTCATGTTAATAGTGCAGGGATTCCTGAGCGCGTCCTGTCAGAGCCGCGGATCTCGGCGCGCGGAGGATGAACTCACCTCCAGCGACGCGACGCAACTAAAACGCAACGCTCCATTCAAAGCGGCACAGGCGCGCTATAGAGTGCACTCTTCTTCGAATAGCCTATATTTAAAAGAAGAGCACAGAACTCCAGAAAATGAACTTTTATAATCAGCGCAGCATGGCGCGCGGATCCCTCCAGTGCGGTTCACATTTGGAGCGCTGAATAGATGTGCGATGCATATTCAGAAGGAATATATGACTTCTAAACGCATTATTGATTGCATTTATATTTTCTCTCAATTCAGTAGCCTAAGCTAAACACAGGCTAGACTGGAATAATCGTAAAAAAATCTAAAATTGCAATAAAGCATCCGTTTGAAACTCCTTGTAACAATCAACTATAAATTATAACAGGCTAAATATAGGCTATTATGGAAAATAAATAATCAGAATTAAAAGCGCTGGGGCGTTCACGCGGGAGAAATTTTCGTGCCCAAAAACAGTCCGACTCAACAAACTGGAACACGACAGATTTGAGGCCGTTTTTAAACAAAAAACCGTGAACAGATCACACAGGACTATTTCAAAAAACCGTTCAAAACTACAAATGCACCAGCACACTGGGTCTCTAGACCGAGTTTTACAAGGTGAATGTTATGGCAAATGCTAAAAACAGCATGTGTCGCAACCGTCAACTGTTAAAGCCTATCGCATTTTCACCTAGATGATTAAAAAAAGGACTGAAGGTGCACTAATGTTTTTAACTTGACACTACATCTGAAAAACCCAGCGCTCGTAAGAGATGTTGAAAAAAGACAGACTCGACACAAGGTGTGCTAAATATGCACTGAACATTTTAATAAAGACGGAACACAAGAACTCGTCGTGTGTGAACGGCTCTTATGTCAAGACCAAATGAAGAGGACAACTTGTGATCACTCCAGTACAGTCCCGAATCCACAGCCCCCTTCACTTCCTACGGGGTGAGTTTCATTCATAATAAAGCCCATGTTTATTAATTCTCGAGCAGTCTGGAGGTGTATTATGATTATTATATCATGACATCACGACTGTCAGCATGCCAGGGCCCACAGTTTGAACTTTGCATTATTATCGCTATCAGTACTTTGCTTTTCTGTAGTCTATTGCGCTACACAATCTAGTGTTTTCTGGACGCCTAAGCGAATAGTTTTAAGAACTATAATTTTGCCAAACATAGGCTATGCCAGTACAGTCCCGAATCCACAGCCCCCTTCACTTCCTACGGGGTGAGTTTCATTCATAATAAAGCCCGTGTTTATTAATTCTCGAGCAGTCTGGAGGTGTATTATGATTATTATATCATGACATCACGACTGTCAGCATGCCAGGGCCCACAGTTGGAACTTTGCATTATTATCGCTATCAGTACTTTGCTTTTCTGTAGTCTATTGCGCTACACAATCTAGTGTTTTCTGGACGCCTAAGCGAATAGTTTTAAGAACTATAATTTTGCCAAACATAGGCTATAAAACATTTGTAAGTATATATATATTTATCAATTACATCTGTGTTAAGCTCTTTGACTAAGCTTAGCGATAACATAAATGATCAAGAAACGTAGTGAAAATAACCCTTTAAAATATAGATAACGAACAGTCTTCTATTCTTCAGAATGTTCTTTTGCATTACTTACATTTGTGTGTGGTGTGATTTCATATAAACTCAGCCTACATCAGATCAATACAAATCGAATCTTTTGACTGCGATTGAAGTTTATTATTATGCTATTATTATAATATACAGTTAATAACGAAATATTCCAGAAGCCGTTCTTAAGAAAAACCAACGGATCCTCATGGAAATCAGATAGTCTGCTCTGCTTTTCCTCCTACATAGTAATCTTTATTAATTCATTGCCCAGGGCTCCCCATATGACCCTTCTCCAGGCATGGCTGGCTCTATGGGCTATCACCCGTACGCCGGTCCCCTGGGCCCGTACCCGTTTGGAGACCCGGCTTACCGGAAGAACGCCACACGAGATGCCACCAGCACCCTGAAGGCCTGGCTCAGCGAACACCGGAAAAACCCGTACCCCACCAAAGGAGAAAAGATCATGCTGGCCATCATCACCAAGATGACCCTCACCCAGGTGTCCACCTGGTTCGCCAACGCCCGCAGAAGACTGAAAAAAGACAACAAAATGACTTGGGCGTCACGGAACCGCAGCGAGGATGAAGATGAGGAGGACAGCATTGATTTAGAGAAAAACGAGGAGGACGATGAGCCGCTCAAAACAGCCGAAACAACACAGACGACCAGAGATTTAGGTGCTCGTTCTTTCCCTTGTTATGGCATGTATGCGCGGGTTGCATTGATATTGTATTTCTTATATTTTATCAACAGTTTTATTTTAAATAAATATATTATGTTTGAACAAATGTTCATTACAAATAACGTATAGCCTATCATATGGCAAAAGGGTGAAATCTTTTGTAGTTTAACCATCGAGTACTTAATGCAATAGCATTATTGCACAATGCACTGCACACAACTTATTTTCAATAATAATAATAGCATAAGGACTCATGAATATTAATAAGCTTCCAAAGGGTTTAGATCCTTCTCATTAAAAAAAGTATTACAAATAAATTTTTAAAACAAACAAATATTTAAAAAACGACCTTGACACCCCGTCATGAGGGTCTATAGAGGTATAATATAATTGACTGTTTTATGCTTTTCATGTCACATGATAACTAAATAACCCCGGTGTGTTGGTTACACCACATTGCCTTTGATTTAGAGGACACACGTTTAATAACAAAACATCAACAATATTTTAAAAGGAAAGGAGGAAAATAATTTGCAGCCTTTTAACTATAGACATTTTTTTTCCAGCTGACAAGTTTTACAAACAAGTTCCCACAAACCTCTAACCTCTCACATTTATTCTAGCGATTGTCGTTTTTGATAGATTTAGAGAAATGAGCGTCATTGTAGTAGCTAGCTTATTTATATAGCCTATATATATTATATAATCTTTTTGCTAATTTACAAATTTTGTAGGTCTATATTCCACACTAATTCCATTAGTGTTTCTAACACTAATAAGCCTATTATCATTTGCTCGCAGTTGTCGATGACTGCACGGAAAGCCGCACGGAAGACCAGGACGCGACGGATAGTGTTATCATCGACGGTGGAGAAGAAGAGGGGCATCGGACAGAGTCTCCGGTGCCCACGACCTCCTCTCCCCGAGACGAGCCCAGCGAAACCGAGAAGCCCCTCCGTGAGAACTGCAAACCCTCATCTGTCATTCATTCCGCAAACCCGACCCCCAAACCCAAACTCTGGTCTCTGGCCGAAATTGCTACGTCGGATAAGAGGAGTGAAGAAGCGTCACAGCCATCACCAGGGACGTTATCGCCCGCCGGGTCACCAGCGCAGTGCCCCTTTCCCCCCAGACACTTATACTACGCGTCTCCTTTCTACGCGGGCTTCACGAACTACGGCGCTTTCGGAAACCTGAACGGTTCGAACCCGGCGCATCTGAGCGGAATTAATCAGGCTGTGTTACACCGAGCGCGAGACAGCAGACTGACTCTGGAGATGTGCAAAGAACTCACCTTCGAGCACAAGAGGGCGAATGTTTAGCGTTTCTATTTATCGAAACGCTGGACGAATAGCAAATGAAAAGCGTTCTTTCTGAACTTTCCACTAAGCATAAAACTGTTTTTTATATTTAAAAAAGAACATTCTTTTATTAACATATCTATCGTTTATTGTGAGATATTTGTGCAAGAGGCCAAAGCACTAATTTAAAACATTTTTTTGTTGTTGTAATTCCTATAAACTGTTAAGATTATTTCAATTGTCCTTGTTTTAACGAATCTTCACTCATATTGGTCATCTGTGCCATGTTTAGCTGTCTATTTTGGATTTTCAAACAAATTTGGCAATGCATATTCTAGAATCAGTGCTTTTGTTTGTGGATAGTAAATTATGCACATGTTAAACTTAAAAAAAAAAATACATAAATCACACCCATTTCATTAAGAAATGTTGAAATAGATATGTGAGAGTCGAGAGTGTTATGTGCTTGAACAGGAACTATATTAGGGATGGCATCAGGTCCAGTATCAAGAAATTCTCTCACTGGTCTGAAGACATCAGTCAAGAAAACTTAGTATCTGCAATGTTATCGCTTCCAAGCTATTCTTTACATGTATTTTGACCCATTATGGATTATTCTATCATCTGTTCTTTGCAGAATGGTGTGCAGTGCCTTCCTGATTTGCTCTCAACAGTGCTACACCTACATGGACTCAAAGAATACACTCAATAACTGTAACACTCGCCTCCTGGGCATGATACGGTGGATAAATTGTAAATTTAAATAGCACAAGTCAACATTTATTGCAGGGGGATTATGGGACAGTACTCTTAAGTGGAGGAGATATTAAATTTATACTCCATAAAGCATCTTCTCATGAAATGTGTGTTGCTTTTTTCCTGTGATGCGGAAACAGTGAGGGGCTAAAAATGTTCAAAGAGCATTTTAAAAGGTATTAAACGTGTAAATTCAAAATTTAGTAAACTCTTTGCAAGAAAGACAGGATTACCACAGATTCCCCATTTCTGCTCGAATAGCGGAGTCCGGCATCAACAAACATCAGAGAAGCGACTCAGGCCCCGTGGCTTACAGGGCTAATACAACGCTTTTGTACACAAAACCATGAAAAGAGGCTGCAAGGACTTGAAAAGCTCTCTAATCCCTCCAGTAAATTCTAAGTTCGGGTATATATTTATACTCGGCGCAATGCTATTTCACAATTCACTGAATTCAAAGCTTTGTAACTGAAGAAGCTCTGGTGAAACTATCCAAACTATCCAATCATCTTGTGACCAATGTCACATTCAACGCAGTCATTTTATCTTTGTATTGCTTTACAAGGGGCTTTTGCTAGAGATGAGTCTCTTTTCTAGACGTGTAAACACAAAATATCACTAGTAATTGCTGTAAAATGGGTTCTGAATGCAGCTGATACATTCGTTCCAAAATATCTTTCCTCTAGTTCTGTTGTTGCCAGCTGTTAGATATGCTTTAATGCATACATGTTTAACCTCTTATAAAGAGAAGACATATGTGACCATGGACCACAAAACCAGTCATAAAGGTCAATTTTTCGAAATTGAGATTTATGCATCATCTGAAAGCTGAATAAATAAGCTTTCCATTGATGTGTGGTTTGTTAGGATCGGACAATATTTGGCTGAGATACAACTATTTGAAAATCTGGAATCTGAGGGTGCACAAAAATCAAAATATTGAGAAAATCATCTTTAAAGTTATTCGAATGAAGTTCTTAGCAATGTATATTACTAATCAAAAATTAAGTTTTGATATATTTATGGTAGGAAATGTACAAAATATTTTCATGGAACATGATCTTTACTTAATATCCTAATGATTTTTGGCATAAAAGAAAAATCTATAATTTTGACCCATACTATGTATTTTTTAGCAAAAATGCAACACCCCAGCAACTTAAGACTGGTTTTGTGCTCCAGGCTCACATATTGCTTTCTGTAATTCAAATGATATTATATAGTTCCTTTTTTTCAAATGGCAAGGTTTCAAAATCTGATACTAGACATTAGGGACAATTAAATCCAATGACTTAAAGCTAGTTTGTAGATAAAAATGACACAATCTTATAACGTTATGACTTAAATAGCGAAAACAAAAAAGATGCATTGATTACATAATAACAATTTTAGCAAAATGTCTTCTGTCACACTGTATGAATTGTGGAGAGTTCATATAGAGTGAGAGAAAATCTGTGAAAAGCTCATCCACTCTTCATTCCACACCCTAATCAATATAGGTGGGCCGTTTTGAAGCATGCATGCTTTTGCTCTTAACTAAAGGCTATGTAAGGCTTTTAAAAGCATTGATTTGGAGCAGATCGATGGGGTCTGAGAGAGTGTTTTCCTGCATAGTGAGAAGGCACTAACAGGCCGCTGATGAGCCAGACAGCACGAGCCAAATTGTGGGTCATTGAGAGCCGGGTTGTTCATATTGCCACTTGTCTACTTCATTCTGGAGTTAAACTACAGAATTTCAAATCAGTTGTTTAGAAACTGTTTTCTTAACTTTGCTTGGCTGACATTTATTAAATGTTTTACATCTGATAATGCATTGGAAATTAGTTTCTTTTTATTTCATCTGAAGCTTTTCTAATCATTGTGTCTCATTAACTCTTATAATGCAAATTAGTGGTTCTCAACTGGTGGGTCGCAGGACTGTTCTGATCTCAAATAGAAGTGAAAAAAAAATGCTAATATGAATGTAAATGCAACTGGCCAACTATGCATAGCTAGGATATGAATGAGTCCCATATTTTCCTGTGCTGTCAATGCTGCACTTTCCAATCAAATGCATCTGTCATTTGGTAAAAGCTAGTCAAATGATGCAGATGGCATTAAAGACAGTTGAGGTGGGGGAACAATCATTAAAATCACTTGCAATTATAACAAACATGGTTTGTGTTGAGAAAATGCATTTTATGTGAATTGTTAAGAACACGAAACCCTCAAAATTCAAAAGACAAATATATTTAGAAAATTGAACGTATGTCATGCAAACAATTCTGCATTTTGTTGGGTCTGTACAGTTTATAGTAATTGTAATACATCTCAATGTTTGATTTTAAGGACTTTTTTCCTTTTGTACATCAACAATTTTGGTATGACACTCTTAAAGATGAAGCTTGCAAAATTAGATTTTTGATACTGAAGAACCATTCTGGGTTCAAAGAACCTTTAAGCAAACAGTTTTTAAAATAACTTTTGTTGTTGTTGAAAAATTTAACTTTTTTTCCCCCTTTTGTGCAAAGAAAAGCTTCCATGGATGTTCAAGGTTCTTCTTGGAACTACAGATTCCTGTAAAGAACCTTTATTTTTAAGAGTGCATCACCTTATCCAATGTAAAATCTGGGTTCCAAAGCAAAACCAGTCGAGAACCACTGATCTTCCGATTTAAAGGTGAATTATTTGTGCAGTTATTATTCATTCTCCTAACAAGCGCGCCATCCAGTCTATTATTGTATTACACACTGACAGTCCTCCAGGCCTTTGGCAAATAGATTTCATTTAGGGTTCAAAATGGCCAAAGACGCTGATGGCTCAATTTACTTAATAATAGATGGGAGGTAGTCTCTAAAATAATATTGACTTAAACACTGGCGCATGCTGAGCAGGCTCAGGCGGGCATTAAGAGAGGAGGCGTTTTAAACAGACAGCTGTGCTACAGCCTCAGGGCTCCTCTTTAATTGAAAGGATCATTAGGAGCCTCGGCGTCCCTTAGCAACTACAGTCCTCGCCGCGCAAATAACTCACACCGCTCGCCACAAACGAAACACAAGCCCGCTGTCGTCGCACGCCACATTCAATAAGAGCGCCTGACGCACGGATAATTGTGTGCTGACGGATGATTGGCTAATTAAGACATGCCACCTCGCATTGTCTTTGGATGCCAAGGCTTGTTTGGTTATTTACATGAAAGACTGAATAATTTAGCACACCTGGAGACAGAAAACAATACGCCTTGTTTATTGAAATGGGAAGGAATACCAATTCTGATGATTTGTGAAGTGAATTGAGGTGAGCATTATAATGCCCTGTGTCCAGCAGGTTAGTAAACTGAAATAAAGTTAGAATGACCTACAATAGAATGAAAATCGTGCAAGGGAGGTCGGGGCTAGTTGTCACACTCACTCCAGTGACTATTTCTCAGGGATGGTTAATGTTGTGAAAGGTCAGATCTGCATTAGTGCATACCTTTAAAAAATGTCACTGAAAATTGTTCATTTAATCAATGTTAAAGCACGTCATCACACTTGTCACAACAGGCCTTTTAGACAAAAATTTAAAAAAAGGATCAAATCATAGTTTTGGCCAACATTAACTGTAATAAATAAGTTTAAAGATGCAAACCATGTGACCCACCCTCATAAAATTGTGACAAACTGCCCCAATCTGAGGTTTATGAAAAATAATCAACCTTTTCTCTTGTATAGTTCAGCCTTTCTGTTGAAAATCTACCTTGCTTTAATGTATCCAAGTGTTTTTATCGTGTTCACTTCTTTACCCAGCAGCTATTATAAAAACACCATGTTGGGATTTTATGATATGATGATGTTTGGAGGACAAAACTGACTAAATGTACTCTAATTTATGCACTTTTGAACTAGGTGTTTACACACTCACTACAGAAAAAGAAGCGTAATTGGAGTTTTGACTCCAAATTTTCCAGTTACTTAGATACATGCCTTTTTGACAACATCCCATTGTGAGACAACTAGCCCCAGTCTATTCTACTCATAATCAGCTCATGTGTTCTTTTCTGTCTGATTGCATTATTTCATGTAGGAGCAGGTATATTCTTTAAACAGACTGAGCTGAAATCACATTAATATAAAGTGCACGAAAAGTGCATCTGAGATCCGATTAGCGCGCATCTTAACACCGCGAGGAACACACGAAGCATTTGCAGTAAACTTTGTAAACCAATGCATTCATCTCATCTGTTAGAGCATTTAGTTAAGCTGAAGGAAAGAGAATGTTATCCGGAAAGCCGGAACAAAGTTTGAAAGGCAACGCTCGAAGGTTTAATATCGCTATATCACAAGCACTCCCGCATTACATCTGTAAAGCAACGCATACAGCAAGAACAATTGACAGAGTGCCTCTGTATTCACAAGGGTTGAGTTATCATATTAAAAATACATTTATTCTA